GTCTTGGCATCAAAGAAGTATCTAGGCATCGAGCGTTACATCCATGGTGAGCTGAGGCTCGATTCCCCTCGTCGGCATGGAACGTACGATTTTTTTTTTTCTGTCTCAGCGTCTCGTCCTACATGAACTCCAGGAGCTTACAGACGTGGAAAGCCTCGTCGCATTTAGCTGCCAATTAACATCCAGCCGTGCGTGGACTCCTTTCGCTCAAGAAATGAACCATCTATGCAGAATTTTCTCAGCACTCGGAAGGTCCAATTGCGGAGTGGCCTGCGCCCGCATCACTTTGCCAAAAACCACTGCTCTATGGCAGTATATACAGGAGACGCCTGTTTGATTCGGGCTTGGACTGTGCCAGGTGGAAGAGTCTTGGGCTGATGACATTACCCTCGCAGCCGCCGCGACTCCGACGGCCTCCGGGGGAACGCTGCGTGCCGTTGGCTGCATTTTGTACACAAGTTTCTACATGATGACTGCCTTCTGAAGTCGAGGTCTTAATAACGAGTATTTTGATGAGCGCTGAACCTGGGACGCGACAACCCACTTCTATCCGCCTTGAATGGCTTTCAAAATGCAGGAGTCCAACTAAGTTCATTTTGAGAGTAGCACGGTCCAATTGCGGAGTGGCCCGCATCTGCATTGCATCCTGTAAAGGTGTATCTGTATACCTGCAGACGACACCCGTTCGATTCGGGGTTGGACCGTGCGTATATCGGGAGGGTCCCTTTTTGGCATCATTCATGGACCCATGTTCATGTTATCTCAGGGACATATCCCTTCTTTCACGCCAGACCCCAGTCTATTCCTGAGCTGTGACCCCGCGAAGCAAGTGTTTCTTTAACAGAAATCCGCCGTTTCTTGCGAGACTTGACCTCCCGACACGTTGGAATTTCACGGCTAACCAGAGCTTCGTGCAGTATTCAGGTTCAATGACGCAGTGCCTCGCGTCCCGCAGTAAACACAGGACAGATGCACCTTGGGCTTGGACCATATTTAATACATCTGGAAGACTTTTTATATTATTTGAGTGGTCACGCGCAATTTTCAGGCGGGACCTTCCTTAGAACGTTCGCCTGTTGTCCCAACGCTGGAGGGACCGCATTCCGTGGAGCGCTCACGGTGACTACTCAATCCAAAGTAATATCCGAGCAATATCGATGTACGTGTGCTGCCGCCTTCACTCCGCGCAATTTATACCAATACAGCCAGCCTCAGTGGTGGCTAGCGTCAAACATAGTGCATACGGCGGAGGTGTGTCTCCAATCAGTGTTCGCCCTCAAGGCCTTAAGTGTGGTTTTGAAAATCCCTAAGGCTTACATTGAGCTATCAATTTAAGGCCTTAACCTGCATTTCCCACGCCCCCAAGCTGCCCCAGCCTATTCTCTGCTGCCCGTTCGTCGTATAATAGTCCTTCCCCCTCTTTCTTCGTCAGTTTGCGCCACCATTCCCGCTATGTGACCCCACCAGATACACCCCAACATCAGTGTTCAACCTCCCGAGATGTGGGGAGTGCCGCTATCTGCAGGACATCTGTTTTTTGATCCCCTCTGTGATGCAGGCAGGGTACCTTTATTGTTTCTCTCTAACTGTGGGACGGACATCGGAGGGCACGACCGAATCGCAGCAGAGCCAATGCACAGTTCTCGGAGTATTCCGAGATGTGCGCATTGGGAGGGCACCTCTGAATCTCGGAGTGCCAAATCTGAGAGCCCCGCGACAAAGAAAGAACATGATGGAAAATAACACGCAGATGGTGTCAGATTCCGGCCCATTCCGCAAAACAAACACTTCGGGCCGAAGTCTTAAGGGTTCCTTAATGCTTTGAAGAAAATCTCAAATTTTCAAGGTTTAACTTGGGTTTAAAACTTAAGGCCTTCATAAGCCTTAAGCGAATTAAGGCCTTGGCATGCGTACCCTCGAACGGTGTGAATCAAATAAAAAACGACCTGATTTTTTGGACTTGACTTTTTTGCGGAAGATGTCTGACACATCACCCCACCGTATCTATAATGATCTATCACGTGAGAAACGCTGCGGATCGAGCCGAGCCCCACACCTGCCACCACCATCTCGTCTGCGGTCTCTTCGCACGCCACGCGTTTCGCACATCCTCGCGCCTTGTGCTTAGCTGCTCTAACGCGCTCCAGCGCTCTTCGCCGTGCTCGAGTGTGTTCTCGCGGCCGCGCGTTACTCCAGCGAGTCGTGCAGCAGCGAGGCTGAATGAGCCCTTCGTTCGTTGCCTTCCTCACGTTTACCCCCGCCTCTGGATCGTGTCTGCTCACCGCTCCCGGGCGCTGCGTCGCTCTGCGTGCCGATATCCGGGCACGTCTCCTGTCGCTCTGCTCTCCTCCCGGCGGTCCGTCTACCTCGCACATTCCCCTCCTGTGCGTCAATGAACTCCAACTTAACTCACGTTATTCCTACAATAACCACCCGTCGTCGACCAGCGGAAGGTCATCCTCGAAAACTATCTACCGGAATTCATATCCATTTGAGGAAGCCGAGGGTTCGATTCCCCTCGACGGTATTTTCCATTGCCCCTGGAATCTTTCTTTGTACTTTCGGCGCCAATTTCTACTCCAACTCAGTCGGTGCAGTGCCGAAGCTCTCGTCGACCACCCGCGAGTACCACCGAGGAAGAAGGGGATTGGAGGTATGCATGGTGTAATCGCGGAGTCTGCGCCAGAAGGTTTTTGCTCTTTGAGCGTATCTTTCGCCTCCTCTGAATCTGCGGAGTCTCGCGAAGCTATCGTCCCTCATTGGATATTAATTCTCCGGATGGAACTTCCGGCGTCAGGTGTGTTTACATCTGCTTAAATTCACTCATAAACCGACGGTCATCTGCATACTCCTCAGGTCCAATTACTGAGAGGTCGAACCCGCATCGCGTCCCACCACAATATTAATCGCAGATCCCGTTCGAGTAGTGCTGGTGCACATTCTTCTTCCTCCTCGGAATTTGCGTGTATTCTTTATGCTCGCCGCGGTAAAAGTCTTAGCATTCTTCAATCTTTCCTGTGCTATCCGCTAATAATCAAGATGTGTTCGCCGACCTTGGGTTGTTTATCAACCCATCTAGCATATTCCCCGCCAATTCTTCACCCAAGGAAAGTTCCGAGCATATCGCAGTCAGTGAATGAAATAATCAAGTGAAGTACGTGTCCACGTCCCTCTTGAAAGTTATTCATCTATTCAGGTTCTACTCAGCAGTCTCGAGGTCCAATTGCGGAGCGGCGCGCACCTGCACCTGTATTGCAGAAGCACTACTGGACATGCAGGCGACGCCCGTTCGACTCGGGCTTGGACCGTTTGCTGGCGCCCGCATACTTTCTTTTTCCCGTCCTTCTTCATCCATTATCTTCGCCTCCCGGAAGTCATCTTCACCCGTTCTCTCCATCATTCTTTGGACGTGGGTTCTTTCTCAAGTCGTCGCCGGAATAATTAATTGTTCGATCAGCGCGGAATCTAAGACAGCAGTCCGTATCTCCGTCAGCCATTCAATTACAGTCCCAAAGTTTCTATTCTACGGTACGTGTGGCTTCCTTCACTCACCTTCCAACGTTCATCGAATTAAATTCGAGCTATCACCACAGGAAAAGTTCCCGCCCTATAAATTAGGAATCTATCCAGGTTGCATCGCAGGATTAACAGGTCCAATTGCGGAGTCCCCCACCTGCTGAACATATGCATTGGGCTATATTTGGGTGGCCGGATAAACTTGTCGCCTCCTCTTTTTCTTTCGCAAGCGCGCTAGTCCAATATGGTTCATTCGTGTGCGTCCACTCTCGACTGTTCAAATTATCGTAGGTCCTCATGATTCACACAGAAATCGCAGTCTCTTTCTCCCGGGTAAAGTTCTCCACTTACTCACGCTCAATTGCACGCTATCGAGGACCAATTGCGGAGAGGCCCGCACCTGCATCAGATAGGCTTGTAAAGACGTCATATACCTGCAGGCGACGCCCGTTCGATTCGGGCTTCGACCATGTGGCATGGGTTATGATATCTTTTTATTCCTGCTTTTCAGATCACGCGGCAGCCAATCTCACTCCGTCCTTAGGTTGCTCTTAGATATTTCACCTTTTGTGCGGTGAGCTAGCTGGGCTCTAGATTCTACCTGCAGTGTACGCGTCGTATAAAATCTGACACGTCATCCCAGCGTCATCCACTCCACTTCAAGGCGAGACCTCATTCTTGCCACCATCTCATCTGCGATCTCTTCTCGCCGCCCTTCCTGCCTTCATGCGCATCGAAGCTCCTAATACCCCTACGCTCCAGAGCGCCTCTGTTCGCCAGTAACGCACCCGCGGCGGTTCCCTGAAGGAGCGCGTCGAGCGCTACCACTTGTTGAGGATGCACGGAGATGAACGCTGACGCTCGCCCGTACGCCCCACCTCCCTCATCGCGGTCGATGGGTTGTTGTATGCTGTATGCTGGATGCTCATTCGTGAGTGCATCACTCCCTCTGTATTCCATCGTGTGCCAACCCCACCAGCCAGCGTGCCAGGAACGGGGTTCATGCGCACGGCTGCGTCTCAGCCCCTGTGCACCATCCGCCTTCTTGCCCTCCCTGCGCTCCATTCTTGCTCACGCGATCATCTGTCGCGGCTCCCCTCTGCGCATGCCGACGCGGTGTGTATGCCTGCCGCGATCGCTATAGCTCCGCATGGGCGCCGCATAGAATCTCGCCCGCACCGTGACTCCTGTATCGCCGCGCCCTCGCTACGCGCCCGCTTCCTGCGCGTGGTTACTGAGGAATGCGCTCGCCGTGGCTCCCCCTCCGCCCGCCGTGCATGCTGCTTTGCGCCGCAGACTATCTTGCCCCACGCCTTGCCTCTCGGGTCTCCGTGCGCTCTCCCCTGCGTCCTGCGCCGCCGTGCATGCACGGCGCGCCGGGTCTTCTCTCTCTCTCCTTTCCTCTCGCCGTCCGTCTACCTCGCACATTCTCCTGCGGCGCCCACCCAACTCCAACTTTACTCACAGTGTCGATAGGGTAATAAACCGTCGTCGACCAGTGGAAGGTCATCCTCGCAAGTTTAATTTGAATCCCAGTTGCTTCGACATCCGAGAAAGCCGGGGGTTCGATTCCCCTCGACGGTATTATCCATTGCCCCTGGAATGTTTTCTCTTCCTCTTTTTCGCTTCTCTTTGTACTTTCGGCGTCAATTTGTACTCCAACTCAGTCGGCACAGTGCCGAAGCTCTCGTCGATCACCCGCGAGTACCACCGAGGAAGAAGGGGATTGGAGGTATGCATGGTGTAATCGCGGAGTGGCGCCCGCATCCATCCTGCCATACAGATCCTGTTCGACTCGGGCTGGGGCGCGGCTTGTATTCAAACAGGTATTCCCACTGTGTGCGTATTTCCGTGCCCGCCGCGATCGACTGGCACTCGTTTTTTTTTTTTGGCCGCTCATTTTCACCCGTCAATACCTCATTCAACGATGAAATCCAGATCTATCCACAGGTGTGTCCGCCCGTCGCCGCATCCGGAGATCGACCTATCGACCCAGGTTCCATGATATTCGTACACTTATTCCTGCGAATGCCTCACCCTAGGGAAATTACCATCATATAGCATTCGATGAAGGCAATGAGACCAATCCACATATGCGTGCTCATGTTCACATTTGTCCGTTCAGTCAGGCTCCCCTCAAGGCCTTCTGCGTCCGGTACTCCCTCCGCATCATTAATATCAACCCAGCTATTCAGCTTCCAGTCCGTAGTATCCAGGTCCAATTGCAGAGAGGTCCGCACCTGTATTACATGCATGGTTGTTCAAGTTGATTGCACGTGCAGGATGCGCCCGTTCGACTCGGGCTTGGACCGTGTATGGGTGTCGGTGACCTTTTGTTTCACACTTCATGGATATACGCATACTCAGTCAGCGCCTCGTACCTCCATGTCGATCGCTACAAATTCCGTCCATTCAGAGTCGTCGTCTGAACTGAAGCCTCCCCTCCAAGATCTCCGGCTCAGTCTTCAGGTCCAGTTGCAGAGTAAACCTTACCTGCACCATGTGCCTCATACTGCATTCCGTACGAATTTACACATCGTTCATCGTTCCTCATAACAGTGTCAAGGTCTAATTGCGGAGTGGCCCGCATCTGCGCCGGATAGACCTAAGATCCACATATGTGCGTTGGCTACCTTCTCTTCCGGCTTTGAATTTGCTCATCTATTGAGCTTCTCCTGCATAGTATTCCGGCCCAATTGCGGAGAGGCCCGCACCTGCATCACCTTGGGTTGAGACAAGTGAAGATATACCTGCAGGCGATGCCCGTTCGATTCGGGCTTGGACCATGATATTATTCTTTGCAATGTTTTCAATTTCAATTTTCAAACTCTGTTCAGGACTTGATCTATCGGCCGCCTCAGGAGCTTCGCTGTCTTCCAAGTTCAGATTACACTTTTTGTCCCACATGCCGTGAATTCACCTTCATCTGGCGGCGACCGGTGGATCCCACCTTGGAACATGTATCATGGTCTTGAACATATTTCATCTTTCCCCCAGAAATTGTGACTTCATCCGTCCAACCCATGTTCATTGGTCCAGCCCATTCGAGATCTCACAATATCTTGGGCTGCCCGCCCATCAAATTCATCCATCAAATTCATCCTGCAAATGATTAGGCAATGTTATTGTGGTTGTCTTCATCTTCACATGGCCCTCGTCCGATTCCCCTTCAAAACAGCCTAGCCCATTTCTTCTGGCGGACACCGATGACAGCCAGCGGTGATGCAGCCTTCATCCTGCAAATATGACTTCAATCCCCATGTATCGCCGCCTTCATCTTGCAGTCCTCCAGCCCCCATCCGTCTGCAAATGATGCTCATACATTGAGTGCAGGCTTCTGAACAGACGTCGGCGGAGCATGTCGACTTCCAGGTCTACCGACGGCGGCCGACGGCGCCTCGGCAGACCCTGTGCTGACGGACCCCGGGAACGCAGTGAATACTTAGGTTCTTGCTCATCCTTTTGGAAATGCAACAACATGGCTCGACGATTGCAATTGATCGACCTTCTCCACAAACTACGATTCTATGTGCCTTGATATTTCCATGCAGAATGTCTATTCGGGCCTTTGACTTGCTCAGCCCACTCTAGATTTGCGATGAACTATATATTAACAGCTCCTCCATCCCGAGGTCTTCGCACAGCCATAGGATAAAGAAGAGTGGAATGATGGATGGATGGCACGACGCGCACGTTCTTGCCGAAGGCGGCTGGAATGGTGAAAGTGACTTCAGGTATGCGCCGGACGTCACCGGCCTTACAGAAGTCCGGATGCAAACCCAGAATAACTTGTGGGCCAATTCAAACGGATCGAATATCACGTTCCTTGCTCGCTCTTTTGGAAATGTGACAACATTCTACCTGTGTGAAGCGACCAAACGAGCGCGCTTCAATTCCTCCGATGGGGCGTTTCGACACCGCCTATTTTACGGTTGGATTCTGATGTCCAAGGATGTTTGCAATTGTGACGGACAGCCTGGACCTCATTTTGCTATAAAATTGCGTCGCTCGAACTTCGCTCACTGCAACCATCGCAATGGCCCTTCTTTGTGAACATCGTGTTTCTTCCTTCTGTCAGAATGACCAGCTGACCATTTTATTTAGCTCTCTACGCACTATGTGTCTTGCTCACCGCTACGCTGTCCTTGTCTGCCGCTGTTTTCGGTGCGTTTTGGATGTCTCACATGACCCTTCAACTCACCTCTTTCTGTTTCTCAGAAAAGGATGTGGTCGACACCAGTCTGACGACCCGTGCCACTTCTCCGCTGGACTTTACGGGAGCCAACTGGATCTGGAATTCGACCTACATTGCAAACGCGTGGATTGCCGTTCGCAAGGATTTCGTCCCTCCTTTGGGAAAGTCCCTCATCGCTGCAGAGATCGTCATGACAAGCGGGGAGGTGGACTTCTATGTAAACGGGGAACTCATTGGAGCCAATGCCTATCCCAAGCCATGGCAATATGCCGGCCGATACTGCGTCGACCTGCTGCCCAGTTTCAACGTGTTTGCGGCGAATAGCACGAGCCCGTCTGTCGCCCACGGGGCAGTGATCGCCTCCATTCGTGTCACATACAACGACTTCACCACAGACACTATCGTCACCGATAGCTCCTGGCGCGTCCACCCATGGGTTGCGGGGTTCGAGCAATTGTCCTTCGACGACGCTGCTTGGCCCACGGCGACCGTCAAAGCTTTGTACCCCGCGGTGTATGGTGCCCTAGACGTCGCCTCCAACTCACCCGTTATGTCTTTTGACTTCAATCCTTCATGGGTGTGGACGGACATCTCTACGAGCGGAACTACGAATGTCCCTGCGAGCTCGCGTGCCTTCCGCCGCACCTTCACTCCGGCGGTGGGCCAGATCCCCATGTCCGCGACAATCATCATCGCTGCTGACGATGCTTTCACCATATGGGTCAATGGTGTGCAGGTCGGCAGTGATGTTGCCGGTACCTGGCAAACCGCGCGACAGTACAAAGTCAACTTCATCTCTGCGCCATCCGAGATAGTGTTTGCCGTGCTTGGCACGAACTCGGCGACGGGGCGGGCGGGGGTTCTGGTTGCTGCCGAGATAAACATGGTGCCGACTGGGCGGGCAAACTGCACCGCTGGTGCGTGGGTGCTTTCGGACGCCAGTTGGGTGTCCACCACAGGCGCGATCCCGACCGGATGGCAGCAGCCTGGGTTTGATGACTCTGCTTGGCCGGTCGTCGTGGCAGAAGCGGTCTACCCTGCAATTTGGGGGACCGTCACCATCGCGGCGGCGTCGCCTCCTGTCAATGTTTAATTCACTGGACGCTGTTTGAATTTAGATTTTCGAGTCCTCTCTTAGCGCCTCTGTTGTTTTAAACCCTCTTCATGTTGTACATAGTGCTACCATCCCTTGCGTATTTCATTTCCGCTTCTGTCTGGGACATTTTTCGTTCGCGCACGAGTTCTGCCTGCGCATGCGTACGTCGATCGATCGACCCCTGACTCGGATTCGCGGTGATTTTGTGTGTCATCCCGATCCAATGCATATGTGAGTGGGCTACCTTCTCTTCCTTAATCAGCCCGGCAGCATACAATATTTTGACATGTAGTACAATACACATGCAGGCGACGCTCGTTCGATTCGGGCTTGGACCGTTCACAGTTGCAAAGATATTTTTGTTCTCCTTCTGCATCCCTTACCTTCGCCTCCCTGAATTCGGCTTATCCCCTGCTCTCTCCAACGTTGTTTGAGGTTGGATGTTTCTCAAGTTGTCGCAGGAATAATTGTTCGATCAACGCCGAATCTAAGACAGCAGTCCGTATGTGTGTCAGTCTTCAATTACTGACCAAAGTCTACTGATCTAGCCAGGTCCATTGTCACACTAGAGCGGTATAAATACGGAGCGGCCCGCACCTGCATCGCGTGCATGAATAGGACAGACAGTCGTATGCACGCCCGTTCGAGTCGGGCTTGGACCTATTTTCATTTTGTGAAAGGTTTTTTCTCCAATTCAGTCATGCAGATCGTGCACTTTGTGGCGCGAAGTGCAGCGATTGGACAATCTTTATTGCATCCCCATCGTTCTACACCAGGCCTATCACCAAGATTCAATACGTCAACTTGAACAATTTCTCTGTGTTCGCAGCTTGTTCGCGAGTTAAAAATTCATCCACTTTAGTCAAGTTTGAATTTAAACTCGACTCAAGGCTAGAGACGTAGCTTTATGCGGGAGATATCAATATTGGGCTGAATTTCGAATGTAGCGTGACAAATCAGCCTTTCGTCATTCCGCCACGTGGGTAACATCAAACTGACCCGTTGCTCTCTCTCCTCGCGTGGCGTCGGCCCTAAGGCCCAGTGAGAATCCCCGCGAGGGATATCGAGCGTGGTCGAGGCAGATCGAGGTATCGAGACAAAACGAGACACATCAATACAAATCAATTTGTTTATGCACTTTTCGTGGCAGCGTTCGTGCACAACACACATAGAACTCCTTTACATTGCGTCGAGACGCCTCCACTCAGCGCGTACTCCGCCGTCTGATTAAACACGTAAAGTACGCGTAACAAATGCCAGCGACACGTCTTACGTGAAATTTTGCATGCTTGC